AAAAAGTATAATAAAAGAAGCTAAAAAAGTAAAATAATAGTATAAAACTAAAGTAATTAAGTACTAAAAAGTATAAGCTAACTTAGCTAAAGGACGTAGACTACTATAAAGCTATTCTAAGAATAAATAATAAGGGTATAGTGTAAGTAAAAACTAAGTAAAAAGGTATTAAGAATCTACTAATTCTAATATATAACGTAAACTAAACCTAAGCTTAATTATTAGGCTAGAAATAAGTAAGAGTAGGCTAATAGCTATAGGTTATAGCGTTAATACGTTTATAAAGGTCTACTAAGAAGTATATAAGAGGGCGCTAAGTTACTAACTTAATAGCGTTCTAATAAACTAAGTAAACTAGATTATTATAGACCTTATACTTAAATAACTACTAAGATATATAGCCTTAGTTACTAAGAAAAAGATATAGATTCTAGCGCTAGTCCTACTAAAGTTAGTAAGTAAAATAAAAAAGAAAATAAGTAGTATACTATATAACAGACTAGTATCTAGATAAAGTTACCTAGGATCTAGGTAATACGCTATAACTAAATAAAGTAATAGGTGCTAACTAAGGTATTATAGGATTAGAAGTTAGTCTATATAGAAAAGTTAGTAAAATATTTATAAAGGAGTGTAAATAGGTTATATAGGTTTAAAATACTTAGATATAAAGTTTATAAAATTATAGTAATAATTAATATTAAGTATAGTAAAAACGTTAATAATCTTTAATATAAGATTAGATAATTCCTCTTAAATATCTTTAGTTTCTTTATAACAGACTATTATATATAAGGAGTTAAAAAGGAATAGTATATCCTAGTAATTACCTAGGATAGTAGGAGAACACTATAAGGAAATATTAGTAATTAGTTAATTAATTACTTATTAACACTTATAGGAGTATAACTAGTGCTATACTAGTTATATTAGACGTAATAAAAAGAACTATCTAAAGTAAAGATATACTTTATAATTAAAAGGGAGTTAGTAAGGGTTTTAACCTCCTTATAGGTCTTTACTATAGTATAAAAGTAATATATATAGGGCTAGTTAGTAGTATAAAGGCGCTTAGGAAGTAGATTAGGGATTTATATAGGTTCCTTAGGCTTATTACTAAGGTCTTAAGGACTATTCTTAGGGCTATCCTTATTACGCTTAGGATTAAGGCTAAAAGGATTATTATAATTAGGGGAACATATAGGACTCTTATTATCTTTATTACTAGGAGGTAGAAGAGGTAGAGGTATAACGTTATAATTAGAAAGTTCCTTATTAAAGCCTAGACTATTATTATCTTAGTTATTATTATAATTATTCTTTTTACTATTTAATAATAAACTATCCTAAAAATAAAGTGTTAATAAACCTAAAACCTTATTAAAAAGCTACCTAAAGAATAAACTTATAAGGGTAGTAAAGAATTAATCTCTAGTATAGTATATAGCATAATAATAACGTTAAGCTAAGGCTTTAACTATTTATTATATAGTATAATCTTAATAGTACTAGAAGTTCTATATTACCTAATAAAAGTTAAATTAGTAACCTATTATTATAAAGTAAAGTAAAGTAAGGTAAAATACTAAAGTAACCTAAAATAAAATTAAAATATAAAAAATAATAGCTAACTAAGGTGTTATAAGTAAAAGATTATTAAATTAAGATAGTTATAAAAGTAAAAGATATAAAAATACCTAGTAATAATAATATAAATAAACTAAATTAGAAGAAAAAGTAAGAAAAAAAACTTAGACCTTAGTAAGTAACTAGGGTTTAAGTGTACACAGACTAGGGTTAGGAATTCCCTAGGGACTAGGCCTATATTAGCCTAGGAAACGCTATAGAAAGGATTTAGAAACCCTGCTTACTTAACTTAAAACGCTATATAAGGACAAGTGGCTTAGGAGGGGGCGTAATTATTATAGGATAATAACTGCTTAACTAAAGGGCGCCACCTAAGACTAGGTAGTAACAGCTGCCTAACTATCTTAAGGTTAGTATAGTATTTTAGGGAGTAGGGCGTATTTAGCTAGTAATAGCCTTATAAATTATAGGAGAATAGTTCTCTAAGATTTAGCTTCTATATAATATAAGACCTATAATTACTAATACTTCTTTATAATTTTAATAGTCTATTATAATTAACTAGTGTAATTAATACTATAAATTAGTAGATTAATAAGGCGTTAACTATAGGATAATAGATTTAGCTTTATCTTACTATTAGCTACTAGTCTGCTAGCTAGGCTAGCTCTATTAGGCCCTAGTTACTATTAAGTTAGATAGAGGGCGTCTTATATATATAGGCTATAATCTAGATAACCTCTAGCTACTACTAATATTAATAGATATAATAGATACCTTATAGGCCTTAAAATAACACTCTAAGAATACCTTTTTACTAGTAATAGTTAAATTTATAACCTAGTTATCTAGATATCTAACCTCCTTATAATAGGCCTACTTTAATAAGCTAAAGACAGCTATATCTAGAGGCTAAAGGACAGTAGAGGCGTATAGTAGTAGAAATAGTAGATATATATTATACTACTAGTATTACTATATAAAATTAATAGTTATATAGCTATAATACCTATTAAGAACTAGTAGTTTAGCCTCTTCTAGCTAAGTAGGCTTAGTGTATAGGATAAAGACCTTCTCTAGCTATTTAAGGGTAGTATTATTAGTTATCTAGCTATTATTAGTTACTATAAATTACTATAGCTTATATATATTAAGGTTAGATAGGAACTACTAGGCTTAAAGTAATTTACTTTTATATATAACTAAGGGAGGTAAAGAGCTACTAGTAGTAGATATATACTTAATAATAGATACTTATACCTTAAATCCTAACTACTTTTTTTTAGATATATTATAATACCTTAGAGCCTAGTACTAGCCTATTACCCCTTTTACCCTCTGTCATAGAATGACATCCCTGATCAATTGATTGGCGATTGGCCATATAAGTGGTGTTGACAGCAGTGCTCAGTGAGGACCACTTGAGCATTGGTGGATCTTTTGGCGTTCTGGCTCAATTGGGTAGAGCCAGGCGTTGGAAGGTCTATTGGCAGGCGCGTCACTGTCAGCGCCCTGTTACACCCTCTATAATACTAGTCTTATCTATATTTTATTTATTAGATAGATAGATCCCCTAGATAGTAAGGATACTACTAAAGTAATAGAAGAAATCCTAGATAACCTTAGGGGAATAGGCTGCCTATTACTAGGTATTAATTACTCTAGATTAGAGGGTTCTAATAGATAGATTTTAGTATATAAATTAGGCTATCTATTTCCTTTTTATAAAAAGATACCTATTACTTATTATACGCTCTATTAGGCCTTTTACTTATTAATAGTTAATATATCTACTAAAGGACTATTAAAAGGTAATATAGGCAGCTAGATTATCCTCTTAGGCTTAGGATAAGTGCTGCCTATCTTTAAAGGCAGTATTCCTGCTTTACCTGCTAAAGTATTAATACTAAAGTGTTATATATAGTATACCTTATCTATAAGTAACAGCCTAGAGGCTATACTACCTAGACTGTATATCTAGGAGGGCCTGTTAGAGCTTATCTTTGGAATATTGCTTTATAATAGTTTAAAGAAGGTATCCTGAAAAAATGGCGTTATTTGGCGATAAATAGCAATTGTTGTGATAGTTTGAAAAAGGTAGTGGTGTTAATAAAGGAGGGGAAATGCAGGAATTTCGGGTGGTTCGGATGCGGGGGTGGTTCGGATATAGGGTGGGGGAGTTAAGCAGAACGAAGTATGAGATTGTTTGCTTCGCCAAGACTTCGTAAGCAGATAACAAGCCAATCCACATTGAAATACCATACCAAGGCCTTTCCAGAATTAGTATCAATCGATCTGAGGGTTTATATGGAATCTTGGAAGCAGGGCACATCTTACCAGAGAAGACAGAGATTATAATTGGAGTATGTTACTTGGTTCTTTCCCATAGGGGATGGAGCGATGTTCTTCTATTGCTCATGCAAAGTAGTCCCATGCTGTAGAGCCATTGTGGCCACTGCCGGCTCTCCCAGATTCAGTGACAGGGCTCTCTCATCAGGAGTTGCATGGCCCAGGCTATTCCATTCGGACAGAACTTTCTTGTTTCGGTATCTATCTCTGGGTTCAAGCCACAGCCGTTAGATTCTTAACAACGGCTAGCAGCACTGCTGGAGGGAGGCTCACTTTGAAATCGCGCATCTACAATCCAGGCGTCCCGCCATAGGGGCTGAGACCCATTCGTAGCGGATGGTAAATCTGGAACAGTGCTGTTTTCTCACCCAATACAATAGACTTCTGTTTATCCGACAGCATGTGGTTTAGCAAACCTTAATCCTCGGGCGGTTTCATAGTGCTGGTAGGGAGCGTATGGTGGCCATGACCGTGTCCATGGAGGCTGCTAATACTCTCCTACGGGCTGAGCTGAATAGTGACTAAATTCTAATATTCGCAAAGAATGAAGGCACCGCGGCACTCATTAGTGCGGTCACGGTTATGAGCTTATTTCCAGGAACAACGAAAAACTCATGGTCACTTCTCAAAATTGTATTCTTTGATGAGCGCAAGAAATCCATCTTGAGACAGCGCTTTATTTTTGATGACAACGCCACCAAGATACCGCGGCATCCACATATCACTAAGTTGGATATTCTCTTTACTGTAAGCTGACAGACTCTCAGGCGAGTCACCAGTTCCCGAAATTTGTACGATTTAGAGCTCCGCTGACATATGATCATCTCATAGGTGTCGCAGACGAAGCTTTGGCTGGATTCGCTCCTTACTGTTGTTGCGCTTGCCCCTGGTGGTGTACTATGGGTATACGCACTAAAGATTGTAGGCAACTCCAACTATAGTCGTTTGGAGCCAAACCTAATAGTCACCATCGGCAATAAATCTCTATATTGCTGGTTATAGCTGCTGAATATGCTAGCCATGCGGTCTTTCTTCCCACCCGGGCTCTCTGCTCTCTTGCTCTCTTAGTTCAACGTGGCAATCACGCTGCAATACATGCTGGCAGGCTGGGGGTTGTACTGACCGATCTCAACCAGCAGAAAGTCCTTAGCTTTCTTCCATTCCGTGCCGAAGTCATACTCGGTTGCGCTTTCTGTTTCGCTGCCTTGCAGCAGCGGCGTCGTCTCGGACACAACATGTGACTTTTGTGCAGCTGGGGCTCGAACACTATCCGCCTCTACATTGGAACGTTGACGAGCCATGTTGGCCAAGGGGATAACGATGTGATGCGTAAGGAGGTTAGAAGTTACGAAACAGAGGATGTTAACTTGTCACAAGAAGTCTGCACTGCCGGTGAACGAGCCAATCTGCTATTTGGTGCGCTGCAGGGGGATCGTCGAATTGGAAGCAGCCCCGGAACCTTTAGATGAGTATCAAGTAACCCCACATCAGTTAGAGCCTCGAGCAAACAAGCTGGACAAGATGGATCGACATTTGACCACCGCATGGAGCTAATCGTTGGATATGGTGATACAGGTACGGGGATGACAAGGGTGACCCATGAGACTTGCGGACGAGATTTTGAGCTTGCCCGCCCAACTTTTGCGCAAGAGCGTATCTTTACCAACATGCCAGAACCATGCCATTGCCGCCAGAAATCTTAAAAATAACGCAGTCAAAATTATTAAACCGAGTGGAGATTGCCTCTACTCAAAAGTGGCCGATGAGTGTCTGTAGATTGTGACCGGGCTCACGCTGAACTCAAGGTAATGCAACTCAACGCAACGTAAGCTGTTTGCCCGTTCTCAGGCCACCCTTCTGACACTGGGAGCCATGTGAGATAGAGCTGCAAGAGATTTTGGCGGAGCCGCCCAAGTGTGAGCATCACATTCACTCCTAGGTTTGCCTTACAGCAGCCTTGTGTTCGAGCTAGCTGCCAATAACAAGGTCGAACTGCCGTCATGAGAATTGGACCTGGCAAACACGTCTCACCGACGCTGGCGCAGCCTTTTGGCCGCTTTTACTGCCGTTAAACTCAGCCTCTGCGTCTCGTCGTCCAACTAGTCCTCACGGTACAGGAGGTCCAGACCTATGACCGTAGCGGCTGTGACACGGAAGGCTGGGTACGTCCAAATGGGTATCGTCAGCATCTCGTCTCCTGCGCCGCTGCTGCTCACTGTAATCTTTTCGTGTCGGTAGAGAATGGTCTACGCAGCCGCCGCGCATATTGCGCGCGTCCGAGATAGCTCGGGTAGGCGAAACGAGTGCCATAGCACCAGCCAGTGAATCATGATGATCTTGTCCGCTGCCGATATGGCCAGGCTTGATTGAGCGACGGGGAGTCAGCTCAGAGTTTCGCTCCTCTCCCTGGGCGGCTCGCGAAGAAGAAAACTTGGTATGAGCTCCACCACCAGCCGGAACGTCTTGTCATTGTCAGGATCAGCCGATATGTTTCGACCAGAGGCGACGATCACTCATGGACCCAATCCATCGAGGAGCCGTGGTATCAAGAATGGGATCCTCGCTAACACACGGTTTACGAGTTGATGGTGGAAACAGAGCCATCCTGGATGATCATGTCCTCATCGTCGCAGTTGATGGGCATTGGGGTTCTGTAGTCTAATGGGCGGATCACTAAACCATGCCGCGGTTAGCCTGACGCTATAGCGAGAGAAGCAATTCAAGGAACTGGGAGAGTACTGTACGTTTGCGTGAATGGGATCGGGAAATGATCCTGAATCGTAAGTTGCAGCGAAAAACGGCATCCAGCTTGGTTCTCGATGGTATTATACATGTCGACATTCGTGCCGATCGTTTTGGCTTGCTTCTCCTCCCAAGTAACATCCAAAGTGATCCGACATATGTTCACAGAGAGAATGATTGCATGAAGTCGAATGGCGGCTTCTACTAGATCGGATCGGCGCTGGGGAACTGAGTCGCGATAACATCACTCATATCGTCTGGTGCATCGACGCAGATGAGCTGGGCATTTCGCTCGCGGATCGCGGCACAGGCTCTGGCAACATCCGGAGACTACTCGAGGTTCGCAGCCAGGTCGTGCAGGAAGCCAAGCTAATCACGACGGTCTTGAAGAGTTCGTGTCGTGAATACCTGCTCACGCAAGCAGTTTTCCGACAGGCTGACGCAATCTGGAGCACGGTATCCTCTTGTGGCATCGCCTCTTTGCGTGAGTACGTTCTGCCAGCATCAAGCCTAGACCGTCGTGCATTGCTTCCGCTGTACGTCTCCACGCAGTAATCACGGCTGTAATGGGGCGATGACCTAAATCGACCTGGTGTACTGTAGATACACTATCACAGGAGGCTCGTGTATGTGTGGCGGTTGTCGTCAGCCACACCACGTGCCATGTCACATGAACGAGCTCGAGGGCCCCCTTTATATGGGCCCTCCACCCGGGAGATTCATCTTCCCACAATAGAAGCCTTTTTCACTCATTCGTATCTCCCTACCTGCTGTGTGCTCTAGCTCGTGAGATACACCTACGTGCGTACTTATGTTAGTAATGATGATTTGATTGTTGCGTGTGATCAAAATGGCAAAAAGCATACAACACCAGGTATTCGCTGGTCGAAACCGACCCAACTACTAATCCGGCCCTCACTGGCTTATCTATGGGAGAGCGGACGGGATCCCGAGTTTTCCAGTGGGTATGGTCGTATATGACCATCATATCAAGAGATTTTGAATATCAATGTTGATGGCCACGCGCCGCCTTCGTCCCAATCAGCCTGCACGTTCTACCAAGGCACCGCATCCCGAGAGAGCAGATGAGGAGCATCAACACGACAGGCCTTGGACTCCCTACCAACAACGCAAAATACTGCAGAGAACCTGCGCTCTTTTCACTGAAACTTCATTTGGGCCAGCGATCATGCCTGGCAGGCGGTGAGTAGGAAAGAGGGAAGATACGGAATGGTGCATTTGACGTTGTGACGGGAAAGGTAGGAAGACGATGAAGCAACCTCGTGCTGTTTGCCCGTACATTTTGCTATTGAAAAAGTAAAACCTTGTCCCCTGTATTTCGGAGCCTGAAAGGACGACCTCAAGTGCGCCACGAACCAACTCCGCCTCGGCATCTTCATCCTCCTCATCGTTACACTGCAACCAGCCCAATGGCTACAAGGACAAACCCGTCCTTAATTTGCCTTAACTCTACTATCAGGTGAAACTTTCCCAAGGGGGACTAATTCGGTAGCAGTGAGCTGGATCAGGCTTCTTTGGTCAAACTCCATGGCGTTTGAATCTGTCTGTGGCATTCGTTAGTATGCATTCATTGGAGTAGAAGGTGTCTCTCCCGGATGCGTCGGTCAACTTCGAAGAAACATCGAGGCTCGGCATCATCGACGGCATCCACAAGCTCGAGACCATATTATTCGTAGCCATTGACGGAAGTTCTGACGATTAGAAGTGTTATGTGATGCAGAACATCCTAGGCATCCAGATGAGCCACCGAAACTGGATGGGTGCGCCTTGCCCACTTCCACGGCCTTGAGTTCAACACCGTCCATGAGGACGCCCCGACTAGGGAAAGCGTTGATGTACCGAGAAAAAGATTGCAAGCGAGTCAGTGATCGAACACCATGCTGCATAACGACCAGGCTGAGAACGCTGGCAAAACCCCAGGATGAAGATCACTACAGCAACTTGCCTTATAGCTGGTCAACTGCTACCGCCCTCCGTATTCACCCCTCGAGGAATGGGTAAGGTTCTTTGCCCTTATAGCTCTAGAACTTCTTAACTTTTGGCCCTGACTACTATCTGTATTGCTAATGCGTCGAACACAGCTCTGATGCAGCACTGGTCCAGACACCTAGCCTGAATGCTCTTTAAATACTTAACCCGAATGCTTCGCAAACACCAGTACAAGTGGCTCTCGAAAATTACACTGGACTAAAGCGATGCGGCTCGAGGCAACGTAAAACGGACGAGTTGAGAGATTTGGTCCCGAACTTTGGCATCCGTCATCTATGAGAGGTCGGGTAACGATTAAAAATATTTGCTTTACGCAGTTGGCACAAAAGGCAAGGAACAGAGCGGCGTTTCTGTGTTCCCAAGACCACAGGCCCCTGGGTCTCCGTCAGCGTATAATTACACACCAATGACGGATCCGACCGGTCGGGGCCGTCAAGACCAGCAAGAAGTTCGTCCCAGATCCATGTTTGATACAGACAGAACATTGCCAAATATATAGTCTGCACCGCATATCGATAGCTCGCCCATGAAGAAGGCGGGCCAGGCTTTTCTGGACCTTGGTCCCCTCGTTTGTTTGGCTGGGCCCTACAACGCTCGGTATCCCCAGGACAAGATGGCTTGCTATTGGGGAACGCGTCTCGGATGTCCTGGAAAAGACAACTCAAGCAGTAATCGCCAATTCTCCTACGTCAAAGTCCACCTCAAAGACCACTGTAGTAATGAGATCTGCCCGCAGACTTGAGCTTCTAAGAGAGCCGTTCTAGTCTTCGTCTTGGTTGATCGCCTTGACTATTTATCTCAGTCCTTCGTATATGGAGGCTAGCATCTGATAAATCACTATTGATGAGACCCGTTGGTCTCTTTGGCTGCAGACATAACCTTCTCTCCTTTTTATTCCTCACGTTTTGGAACTGTTAGTTCCTTGGCGTGCACTACACTAAGAACACTAACAGACACATTACTTGCGTCACACCCTTACCCCCTAATGCCGGCCTAAGGGCTGGCAACACCTGCGTTGCGCCGGCCTGGCCTACAGCTACTAGCACGCGTAGTTACGCTTAACTCTAGCCCTTCTAAGGTTACTAAAGGTTCCCTAATAAAGCGTAAGAGAGTTAAGTTCTTCTTACTAACTGTTATAATAATCCTATTATTACCTCTAGACGCTACGCTCTTAAAGCTTTTAGCTAGCCTTAGATTAAAGCTAGGGATTAATACGTCTATATATAGACTAATAATAAATATAAGTTAGAGAGAAGATACCCCTAAAGACACTCTTAGTAAGATTACTAATTTAAATAATAGCTTTACTTATATAAGGAATACCTTTATTAAAGCCCTTTAGTAGCCTCTTTAGCTACTATAAAAAGAGGGAAAATATAACTAGGTAGTTAGCTACTATACTAATCTACTTATTAACGCCCTTAGTAATAGCACCTCTTACTAATAACAGCCTTAGTAAGGCTAGTAGACCTAAAAGAGTGTTAAGATTAAAGGCTAGCTTTACCCCTAAGAAGAGACTATAGCTTAGAAGATAATAAAGGGACTAGGC